GTACCTACGGGAGCGCTGGTCCCCGAAAGCCACCCTTTGTCCCCGACCTTGGAGGAAAGAGGCAAACCATTGAAGGGCAAGCCCCTGAATTCACACATCGGCAAGGCGATGGGTCAGCAACTGGTGGTTGACAGTGTCAAACGCTGCTGACAGGTCTAACAACACCAGTGCTGCCACACCGCCCCAATCCAGATGTCTCCGGAGATCATCAGTCAGGGCGACCAAAGCCGTCTCGGTCCCGTGACCCGGGCGGAAGCTGGACTGGAAGGGATCTAAGACTGAAGCATCCTCCAGAAAGCACTGTAACTGTAACGCCACCGCCCTCTCTATCAATTTGCCCAAATAGGGCAAATTAGACACCGGCCGATAGTTGGCCAATTCGGCCGGGTCTAGAGATGGTCTTTTTAAGAGAGGGCGGACCATCGCGTCCTTGAGCGCCGTCGGAAAACGCCCCTCCGAGAGGGACATGTTGACAATATCTCGAACGGAGCAAGGAGAAAAGATCCTGGAGACAGAAATTAACTGTGCTTATTTCTCTCCTACTCCACAGAATTCTGGTTTCTGAAACCAAAGCCAAAAGGTTTTGCACCACACCCACTGCCTGTTCTTGTTCCTTCCATGGTTTCTGCCCCAGAGCAAGCCCCTCCCTTCTCACAGGATGGCACTGGAAACGAAAAGCTTTCCAAAAGGGCCATCTTCGAAAGAGCCTGCTGCTAGCCTGAGGGAGGGCAGCCCCCCCTACACACACCCACACACACGCTAAACAGCTAAACGCAAAATAATTTTGCTCTGCACATAGGGCCAGTTCTCCACCCAAACACTCAAGGCGACACTTGAGGCCCTGGCAGTGCCCCCCCCGGGGGGGGTTTTGGCTTCCTTCCGTTTGTCCTAACAAGTATGTATCACCCACTCACTTATTTGCTGGTACATCAACATTTGCACAGGTAAACCTGGCTTTTCTCAACCTTCAGGCCCAAAATGTTGCCTGCTCATGTCCTACCTTCTGCGACATGCATTTAAAATGTGGAATAAATAAAATGTTTGACTCTTCAAAAAAAAAACAGACTGACATCCCTAATGCTCACTGGTAGTCACTTAGAGAAAATAAGAATGACATTTAAAGAAAAGTGTTATTATTAAGAAATAAACATGAAATCTCTGGCTGAAGCAACATCAGGAAGAGTATAGGCAAACACCTGTTACCTGAACAAATGGCACCTGTTCAGAGAGACACAGAGCTGGATCCCACAAGTTCCTTCGGCTAAAGAAAGATCCCACCAGAGCATTTAGGAGAAGGAACCCAACAGGGCCCAACTGATAGATTTTCCTCTTCAAGGTCCCTTAATTCAAACACTCCGTTTCTACCCAAGAAATGAGTGGAATATAAAGGGGGGGGGGATGATCCCATTCTTACCAGGCCCTCGACAGTTTCCATCTCAATACAGTACAAAAGGCGGTGTGTATACTTTTCTGGTCAAAAAAGACACAACTTTTAAACTCCGGATCATAGGAAAACAAGCAAAGACAGATCAGTTTATTTTTAATGCCTCCATGGGACCAGGAAAACTCTTGGATCTAATGATAGTTTAGTGAATAATTTCAGCACTACCAGTATTCCAGTGTTGTTGCCAGACAGACGGAAATGAGGGTTTAGAGAACAGGTTGCTTTAACAGCAGTCACATTCCAAGAGGGAGCACAAAGATCAGTATGACCGGTCCTTATCATCCAGCCTTTCCTGTGTGGAACTCACTGTGATCTGTGCCGCTGAGCTTATTGCATCATTCCTGTTTACGTGCAGCCTTCGGCTAATCTTATCTTAAAGCTGCTGGATGTGCAGCCCTGGAAACTAGCCTGGGCCATCGTCAAATACTGGAACAGACTCATTTTGCTAGAGGGTAGTAGATTATTTACAGAGTGGATTTGCAACCATTGTCAGAGGCAAAGTAAACTTCTCAAAGAACAGGGTGAACTCTTCCCTTACTCACCAATCACGATGAGAGTATAGTTCACACTCATGCTGCCAAATCCATTGGTGGCCTTGCAGATGTATGTCCCTGCATCTTCACTTTCTACTTCCTTGATTTTCAGCCCTTGCTGGAGGACCCGAAACCTTGTCCATCCACTATGGATTGTTCGGCCATCTTTCATCCACATAGTAAGAGGTGGGGGATCACCCTCCACTGGGCAAAGGAGCTTAATCGTTCTTCCTAATCTCACAGATTGCCGGTGAATCACTTTATCAGCAATTCTGGGTGGGCCTAGGAAAGAGAAGAAATACAGGAGTTAACATTTCACTGCTAGAAGTTTAGGATAGTACTGATCAGCAAATGTACCTTTTATTATTGATTATGTAAACATAGAGCCCAACGACTCACTAACAGAGACTCCAGGGCTTGCAGTGGGAACAGTGTCTGAGCTGCACAATTTGCACTTTGGCCTCAGAGTCCCACCAAAAACAGATAGGGCCAAGGGTGTTCAAGACAGCTTCCAAAAACTGATGCCACGCACCTCAGACAGAAAGACGGGTTGCTCACCTGTAACTGATTATCTTCGAGTGGTCTTCTGTGCAGTCCCACACATGGGTTGGGCACCTGCACATGACCTCATCAGAGAAAATTCTAGATTTTGCCTCAGAGTCTTTTTGACGGGCTCTCTTACCTCTCTGGGGAGCAGGCTCACATTGCACATGCCTGGAGAGGGGGAGAGACCCACCTCCCACTCAGTTCCTTCAACTATGACAGGTAAGTCTCGACAAAAATCAGGTAAGTGATCGAGAGATGCCAGCAGTGGGGAAAGCCAGGTGGGATTGTGGCACTGCACAGAAGACCACCCGAAGATCATCAGTTACAGGTAAGCAACCTGTTTATCTTCTCTGAGGTCTCTGTGCAGTCCCACAAATGGGTGACTGAAGAGCTGAACCAGGTGGAGGAGGGAGCTGGCAGCTAGAAAAAAAACAGAGTGTTAATCTCAGATATCACAATATGTCCCACCTGAGAAGAATGAAGACTCATGTGAAAAGGGATGGTGATGAGTTCCAGTAGGAGAAAGGGACCCCCAGTAGGAGAAAGGGAACCCAAATGCATGACATCATCTTCTTGAGTGGTCACATCAACCTCTGCACTCTGCACTCTGTAGGAGTGCTCAGAATCAGAATAAGAACATAAGAGAAGCCTATGTTGGATCAGGCCAAAGGCCCATCCAGTCCAACACTCTGTCATACAGTGGCCAAAAATACCAGGTGCCATCAGGAGGTCCAGCAGTGGGGCCAGGACACCAGAAGCCCTCCCACTGTTGCCCCCCCAAGCACCAAGGATACAGAGCATCCCTTGCCCCATCCTGAGAGTCCCTATCTATACCTTGTGGCTAATGGCCACTGATGGACTTCTGCTCCATATGTTTATCCAGTTCCCTCTTGAAGCTGTCCATGCTTGTAGCTGCCGCCACCTCCTGTGGCAGTGAATTCCATGTGTTAATCACTCTCTGGGTGAAGAAGTACTTCCTTTTATCCGTTCTAACCTGACTGCTCAGCAATTTCATTGAGTGCCCATGAGGACATCGAAAATAACGGTGAGGTGAGCTGGGATAGAGCTGTTGGTGGATCAAAGATAGCAGGAGCAGACTGATCAGGAAGTCCTGAAGGGGCATGATAAGCCTGACCCTGAGGCACCGACACATCTGGACGCAGAGTATCCTGGGTCAGAGAGTGTGTTGATACCTAAGAGGCTGAACGCCAACTATGAGATCGTGAGGTGGCACGATAAGGGAAGTGCCGATTGGTGACCTCGAGTAGAAACAATGACGGGTCAAATGTGTCAAGGCCTCAGAGCAGGGGATCAGGATCCCCAAGGTGATAAGAGATTGGGAGGCGGAATGATAACATCTGGGCTCCCTGCAGTCACAGTGTGATTGAGAAGAGCGAGACAGACTCCATAAAAAAATGCTCCCCGTCATCCAGCAGGTGGAGAGGAGGCTGGAAGTCTCAGGAGACAGACCGACACTTTCAATCCCAGGCCAAAGCATACTGAGAAGGTGGAGAGTTAGACAGCAGCGGTTGGGGCCATTGGCCCGGTGTGAGGCGGTCAGTCTGAGAGGAGAGGACCGGCGTCAACACAGGAGGGTGCTCGTCATTCTTTTGGACTGCACTAGACATAGGGCGACCTGTATCAAGGTCAATGTCGAGAGTCCAGAAATTATGATGGGATCAAGCACAGGAGCAGCAGCCGAACTCGATTTTTTTTTTAACTTCGAAGTTGAGGCTTTGGTACCCTCCATTTTTTTTTACTTATGCTGCTTTTTTGCTGAGTCCGATGGTTTTTGAGCAGGCACCAAAGAGGAATGAGAGGCAGCCGAAGACATTCCAGGGCAAAGAGCCACTTCTGACAGGACTGCCTTGAGGTGAGCAGCTCGACTGCACGGGGCTTGTTTCGTAAGCTTAGCGCAGTGAGGGCAGATCTCAACTCAGTGCTGTTTCCCAAGACAGAGGAGACAAAGATTGTGTCCACTTTTGGAGGGGAGCTTCATAGGACAGAAATGGCACTCCTTAAAAGAGAGAGTGCGGCCCATACACACACCTTCTTGACTGGGGAGAGGGAGGGGAAGGGGGGAGATCGAGAAAAGTAGAATAAAAAGGGTTCTTTTTTAATGAAAAGGAAATGAAAGTAGAAGAGGAACTCCACAGAAGAAGAATTATAGCAGAGTCGAAGAAGAACTTCGCTGAGGTGAAGCGAGGAGCAACGAAGTAGAGGTGTGAACACAGGGGTGGTCAAAGCAGAGCTGAGTGGGAGGCAGCTCTCCCCCCAGCTCCAGGCATGTGCAGTGTGTGCCTGCTCCCGAGAGCAGGAAGAGAGCCCGCCAAAAGGACTCTGAGGCAAGCTCTAGACTTTTCTCTGATGAGGCTGTGCACAGGCGCCCAACCCATGTGTGGGACTGCACGGAGACCCCAGAGAAGATAGTCCAGATTTCATTAAGGGTGGCCATAGCTTCAATTTGCCTCTGACACTCCCAACATTTTGTCAGACTCGGGCATTTGACTGACGGTACCTGTTGTATTTCTACCCAGTGTATTTGAGCTTTTTGTATCCCGCTTGCTTCCTGCACCCAAAACCATTTGTTTAGCTTGCCCTCGCCTGCGCCCTTATCGCCCGCCCTTGCCCGCCATTGCATTCCTGAGGGGGGGGGGGGGAGTGCCTGTAGTAATTCAGGGAGGCTGGCTTTCGTAACTCTTCCATGAGGCCTCAAAGTCATCTTTCACATGGGAAGTGTAATGTATCCACCAGGACCACGTGTGCAACCGTTGGACCATGCGGTCGCACACAGAGCCAAAAGCTTCGTCCCTGAAGAACAATAGCGGAGCGGATCCTAGCCTGCACCAACCAGAGGGCCAGGTCCGTGGCCGAGAGCCTATGGGACTCTCGGCCACTGTAAATAGCCAATAGGGTGACTAGTGGGTGTATTTTGGTGGTGGGTTTCTGGGCGTATATACCAGCCTGCGTGTCGGGGCTTTTCGTCTTGTTCTTCACTAAATAAAGTACTCTTGCTGAAATCACTCTTCGTTCTGAGTACTTTTCACTGGCAACGAAGGTGGGATTCTACCCTTCCTGAACAGACCCGGAGGAGATCAAGCACGCACCGAGCCCGATCAAGATCGCAGCCGCCGCCGCTCGCTAGATCACCGCTCAACCACATCGCGCCTCGCTCCGCTCGCCTCGACGACCTCGCCCCACCCAGCAACGCCTCGCCTCGCCAGCCCCGCCAACTCATCTCGCCTCCTCGCCGATCTCGCCTCGCCCAGCAACGCCTCGCCTCGCCCAGCAACGTCTCGTCTCGCCTCGCCTAGCCGCGCCCGTTCCGCCTTGCCTCGGCAACCCACGTCTCGCTTCGGGCCACCTAACATAGCCGTGCAAAGATGTCGGAGCCAAATGCCGCCACTACCTCCTCCTCCACCTCCGCGTCATCAGCCCCCGTCGCCGCCGCAGTCTCCACCGGGACCTCACACGAGGGCATCGCCCCCTTCGACTTATCGCACCCGGAAAGGTGGACCACGTGGGTGATGATACTCAAGAACTACCTCGCATGCTTGCAGGTCACCGATGCCGGGATGAAGAGGTCCCATCTCATACGCCTGTGTGGGATGGACACTCTTCTTCTCTTACAGAACCTGATATCACCCAAGGAGGTGGAGGGGGAGAGTTTCGATGACCTTATCAAGGCCCTCACGGATCATCTGGCCCCAAAGCCCACCAGGTTCGGGGCACGCATGGACTTTTGCGCTAAGGTTCAGGCGCCAGGGGAGAAAGCGACGAACTTCCTCGCCAGCCTTCGGAAGGCCGCCATGCAATGTGCTTTTCCAAACTTGGAAGATACATTGCTGACCCAATTCCTGGTGGGCCTTCGAGAGGCCAAACTACGCCGGCGCCTGATCAGAAAGGACGACCTCATGCTGGCCTGAGCCCTAAAGGATGCGGCGGTGTTCGAAAACGTGCATCCAAACCACAGCGGACATCAGGTCCACCGCACGCAACCCGTGTCGGAGTCGGCCAACTCAGAGGAGGACGAGGTCCTACAAGTTCGGCGCAGACCCTCGCAACCGCATCACTCATGAGGGTCCCCACCAGCGAATACACCGGATCCAGCCCCAACATGCGCCAGCTGCGGAGAGGGACATCAGGTCCACCGCACGCAACCCGTGTCGGAGTCGGCCAACTCAGAGGAGGACGAGGTCCTACAAGTTCGGCGCAGACCCTCGCAACCGCATCACTCATGAGGGTCCCCACCAGCGAATACACCGGATCCAGCCCCAACATGCGCCAGCTGCGGAGAGGCGCACGAACGCCGGAACTGCCGCTTCTGCGACGCCGTCTGCCGGGCCTGCAACAAACAGGGCCACATTGCAAAGGTCTGCCGCAGCCGCCGACAACAGCGCAGGAAGTCCACCCACCAGATGGAGCCGATCCACACCGTGGACCTGCACTCGCTCGACACCAACGCCATCAACCACCAGCCCCAGCCCCAGGTAGGCGACCTTCCCCGCACAGGCCGGAACAAAGTCCACGTTTCGGTCCGGATAGAGGGGTCCCCCTGTAGCATGGAGATAGACACGGGCTCTGAGTTTACCATAATCTCGGAGGAGACCCTGCGGACTGTGTGTCCCCTCTGCGCAAGCCACACTTTAAGTTGCAGGATTTCAATAA